AGCGGATCGAGACGTCGAGAGAGCACATCGGTGAGCGTTTGGGAAAGTGCACTTCAACGCGAGCTAGTCAGCCAGGCACAACCCGCAACAGGCTCCCGGTAAAATATCAGGATTAATCACAGCGCCCAGGGAGGGGGCCTGATGTAACATGAGAACGCTCGACGAATCTTGCATTCTGTCAGGTTGAATGCTGGTTCTACTGAAGAGTCGAAGTCCGATTCAGATCCTGGACTCCGTTGCTAGGACGCGGAATTCTGACTAAAGTAAACAAACACACCGGCAAGTCCCAGGTGTGCTATACAGTTGTCAGTAACTATGGCTACTGCCTTTGTGAAAGCCAGTGAGGACCGTTGTGTGATGCAGGACAGTCTAATAGATTCCATTCGGAAGTATTGTCGGTGAGTTTAGACGTTTTATAGCTATCTGGCCTTCGAGTACTTAAGGAACCCTTGCAAATAAAAATGGGTTGGCGGACCATGTGATCCACCCCAGATCATCTCGGCTCACAATTTTGAGAGGCATCTTGTAGGCTGCAAAGTTGGCGACTGCCAGAAAGTTGATATTCATGTTCTCTTGGTTCTCCTATTTTCAGCATTCGATAGGGGTTTTTTTTAAACTTGGCAAGAATAGGAAAATTGGTAACTGGAAGATTCCTAAATCAAAAATTGAGGATGGCACTTGTTATGTATTGAAAACAGAAAGGCAGTTTGTAGGCAGGATGATTGTCATGTATGTAAAACAGAAGGCTGTCTGTAGGCAGGACGTGTACTGAGGACGAGGTAACACGTCAATTGATGAGTCATGTTAAGAAGATGAATTGGCGAACATACGTTTGTCTTCGATAATTCTCATTCCAAATAGACTAGGCGGGTTGGTAGAAAAATAGAACGGTTGTCAGGACAGAGGGAATGGGGGGGGACGGAACGGGGTCAAAATTTGATCAGCGTTAGGGTGAACTGGTAGTCGGTTGAGGTGCTAACCTGCTGGCTGCTGGATTGGCAACTTTTGACTATGGTAACTGCGGTGCCGCGACGAAATTCTTTTGGGTGCAAAGGACTGGTCGGTGTAGCCTGATGGCGGCCGCTTCTGCCGTAGCCAGCAGTC